CCCCTGCCTAGAATCCCCCAGTGAGGGGCTGGGGGCGTGGCTCAGTGTAGAGCCCCTGCCTAGAATGCCCCAGGGAGGGGCTGGGGAGTGCCTAGCATGGGTAAGGCTCTAGGTTTTATCCCAGGGGAAGTGTTGGTACAGGAGGCACAAATCTTGCTTTTGTCTGACCTTTTAGACACGGGTTGTCACCTTCTGAGCTTTTCACCTCCTGTCATATGAGGTGACAAGTCAATTCTGCCCCTTCTGTTCTTTCTCAGCCTGGATCCTGAACACTGGGGCTGAGATCTCCATCACCCCCGAGCCTGCCCAACCTGCAGAGGGGGACAATGTCACGCTGGTAGTCCATGGGCTTTCGGGGGAACTGCTTGCCTACAACTGGTATGCGGGGCCTACGCTCAGCCTGACCTTCTTGGTGGCCAGTTACATTGTCAGCACTGGTGATGAGACCCCCGGACCAGCCCACACAGGGCGGGAAGCTGTGCGTCCCGATGGCAGCCTTGACATCCACGGTGCCCTACTTGGGCACACAGGCACCTATATCCTGCAGACTCTTAACCGGCAGTTTCAGACGGAGGTGGGCTACGGACACATGCAGGTCTATGGTGAGCCATCCCCTCTGACATCTCTGACACTGTCCACTCTCTTCCTCACCCTCACCCCTCCTTTGAGGAACAAAAGAAACAAGTATTTATTCTCCAAAATAGCATCGTGTGGTGTGTGTGTGTGTGGCACAGAATATATGCGGAGGTCAGAGAACAACTTTATAGAGTCAGTTCTTTCTACCCCATGGAAGCCAGGGATTGAACTCAGGTCATCAGGTTTGGTGGCAAGCGCTTTTATCCACTGAGCCATCTTGCGAGCCCTTAAAAATGCTTTTAAAATAGGTTGTGGGTGTGCCTAAATCAACACAAAAATGCTTACTGTCTCCATTCTGGCTTCCAGGATGATATCTGTCTTCCAAAGCCATTCTTGGTCACTATGGCTGGGGTGCAGAAGTACAACTTGGTGGTACTTCTTGCCCCGGGGACAGGAGGTGCCCCTCCCCTCCCCCTTTGTCTCTCACTCCGCCCATAGAGATCCTGACTCCTCCCACGGTCATGGCCAACGACACTGCGCTGGTGGAGCGTAGGGATACCCTTCGTCTCATCTGTAGCAGCCCCAGCCCCGCCGAGGTCCGCTGGTTCTTCAATGGTGACGCTCTGCCCGTGGCTGTCCGCTTGGGCCTGTCCCCTGATGGCAGGATGCTGACCCGGCATGGCATCCGCAGAGAGGAGGCAGGCGCCTACCAATGCGAGGTGTGGAACCCGGTCAGCGTCAGCCGCAGCGAGCCGCTGAACCTGACGGTATACTGTGAGTCTTCCAAGGCACCTGATACCCATATCTCACAGATGGGGAAACTGAGGTCACGAGGAGTCCACAGTCACACAGCAAGTCAGCAAGCAGGCTGGGGAAGGAGCCAGGGCCCTTCTTAAAACATACTTGACTGCTCGGTCACTTTATGAAGTGCAGGTTATGGCTGATAAAGCCAGGTCGATGTAGGACCCTGTAGATGACAGAGGGAACACATGCCTGCCATCCCAGGTATCCGGAGGCGGAGGGAAGATCATTACTAAGACCGAGCCATGGCATATGTCTGGCACGCACCAAACTCCATCTACAGCCTCACAAAATGCTTCTGTGAGCGTACGGCAATAATCCTAGGGAAATGAAGTCAGGATCCCAAGCTCCGGTCCTTGTCAGCTGCATATTAACTTCAAGGTCAACCTGGGCTACATGAAGGCCTGTCTGAAAAGAAATAGGAAAAAGGAAAGATGCCTAAAGAAACGGATAGCATGGACACAGGGATGCTTAGCTTTGAGAAGGTTTCGAGGTTAACTGTCATTGGAACTCAGGGCTCAGCAGACATATCACAAGAGCTCATCACAGAAGCGCACGGTACTTCCTGGGCCAGCAGCTGTGTGTGTCAAATCCTGAGAATACAAATGACCAAGTTGCCCAGCCGTAGTGGGGCACCCCTTTAATTCAAGAGGCAGAGGCAGGGGAATTGCTGTGAGTTCAAGGTCAGCCAGGGCTACATAATGAAGCTTTTTCTCCAATAATAATAATAATAACAACAACAACAGTAATAATTTCAAAAATAAGGCTGATGTACAGAAACTAAAATTCTAGAATCTTGCAACCAGAGGATTCCAGATGCTGGAAACTCTAGAACCAGAGACAAGGCTCGAGTTTAGACTGTGAAGCCTAGAAACACTAGAAACACCCTAGAATCAAGTTCTAACAACTGAAAGTCTAGAACTTTAGACACCCAGATTTCTAAAGCCCAAGAAACCAAGAACCTAGAAGCATGGGTTCTTTTTGTTTTGGTTGGTTTGTTTTAGTTTTATTGTTTTTCAAGACAAGGTTTCTCTGTGTAGACCAGGCTAACCTTGACCACCTGCCTCTGCCTCCCGAGTGCTGGGACTAAAGGCGTGCGCCACCACTGCCAGCTCCACACATTCTTTTTTATAGATAAAAACAACAACAACAAAAAAGACAAACAAACGAAACAAAAAACTGAGTTCTCACGGGAGGGGAAGTGAGTCTCGAACTTGTAGAGTGTTAGAAGTCAAGACGTGATTGAGAAAGACTCAAGTTCTTTCTCCCCTCTCAGCCCTGCCCGCCCCAGCGACCCAATCCGGTAGACAGAAGACCTGAGGTGCACGCCTTTGTCCCCTCCCACCCCACTCCTGCCCCTCCTGTGTCTCTCCCTCCTGCCCTACAGTCGGCCCTGAACGAGTGGCTATCCTCCAAGACTCTACCACCCGCACGGGCTGCACTATTAAAGTGGACTTCAACACGTCCCTCACCCTGTGGTGTGTGTCCCGGTCCTGCCCTGAGCCAGAGTACGTGTGGGCCTTCAATGGGAAGGCCTTGAAGAATGGTCAGGATCATCTGAACATCAGCGGCATGACGGCAGCCCACGAGGGCACGTACACGTGTATCGCTAAGAACTCCAAGACGCTGCTGTCCGGCTCTGCCTCAGTGGTGGTCAAGCTGTCTGGTGAGTCAGTCCCTGGCTGATAGCCACCTGCTCTCCAGAGAGGCACCGCTGGCCTTTGCTGCCTGGGCCACCCCTTTCCCAGAAGATAACTGGATTCCCAGCACACTCGTTGGCCAGTTGGGACAAGGTGGCGTATCCGATTGTCCCGGTCTTCTCTAGGTGCGAAAAGAGGCAGGCAAAGAAATGGTGACTCATATCCTCTGCCTTGCGGTTAGACTGAGTGATACATGAGCCCACGTCCCCTTCTGGTGGGGTGGACCAGGCTCCACGTCCTTTCGTGTCCTTACCCCGCTTAGTAGAAAGGCACCAGCTGCAGAGAGCCCTGCTCAACCCAAGACACACAAACCTGAACTTCCTCCAACTACATTGTCCATCAATTAGTCTGATGGCATGTGGGCATGCGCGAGTGCCCGTGCCCGTGCACGTGCACGTGCACGTGCGCGAGTGCCAATGCACGTGTGTGTGCGCGTGCCCGTGCGCGAGTGCCCATGCGGGAGTGCTCTCTGTCTCTCCTTTTCTCTGTCTCTCTGACACACACACACACACACACACACGCACACACACACACACCCCACAGGTGAAAAACCACACACCAGAAGGTCTCCACACCTCTGTTCCACGCATGGGGGTGGGGTGGGCATTGAGAGACAATGAGGGAACAGCGCTCATGCCCCAAGGATCGTGGCTTTGAACGTCAAGTCCTCATTTTATAGCAAATGTGGAAGGGCTCACCTATAATCACAGCATTTGAGAGGTGAAGGCAGGAGGATCAGGAGTTCAAGGCCATCCTCAGCTACACAGACATTTCAAAGTCAGCCTCAGCTACATCAGACCTTGCCTCAAAAAAAGAAAAAAAAAAGTCTCATTAATTCTACCTGGGTTTCTGGGTTTCTTCTCAAATGACCACTGGGGACAGTGGGAATCGTCCACCCCCTCCTCCCTCCCTTCTTCCTCCACTAACAGGCTGGGTCTCATGCAAAGGGTGGGGATGGACCCTCTTTCACGCAGAGCAGAGATGACTGTCGCAAAGGTAAGCGTGCCTCCTGTCTTACCTGTGAGGGACCTTGGCTGGAGACAGGGTGGACCAGATGACCTCAGGGCCAACATGGTGGGTGTCCAAGGTCTGCAGGTAGGTGCAGGGTATGCCTAATGACACATTCCCAAAACTGCCCCACAAGTTGCCAGAAATCCTGTGGCAGGTGCTGAGATGGAGACAGAGAAACATGGCTCTTATCTCACCTGGGGAACAAGCTGAGGTGATGGAGGAGGCATGGTCTTTCTCTGACTTCAGAGGTATTAGTGAAGCTGCCAGTTAAAGAGAAGAGTCACCTTCTCTGGGCTCCCAGACACTGGTGTGGAAGAGATAAAACCCTCTAGTCAAAGGAAGGAGGCACAGCCTGGAAGAATTTCCAGGTCATTAGGAGACATGACGCTACTCTAAATTTCCTAGTCTGATGGGGGAGACACAAGTCCCACTTTGGGAACCTGTCAAATCTGATGGAGGAGTACAATCTCCCCACTTTCTTTGAAGTTTTTCTATAAAATAGAGAAAAATATTCCCAACTTTGGGGGGGGGTCTCCAACTTGATCAGAATGTTTCACTCCCAATAATCCACAATTTCTCAGTCTGATGGAGGAGACGGAAGCTCCCACCTTCTAGAAAATCTTAAACCCATGGAATAGTCTTCCCAGCTTCTTGGGTCCCAAAGTTGATTGAAAAAAAAAATCTAGATTGTCCCAATCTGATGGAGGAGACACAATCTATATCTTGTGAGAATTTTCCATGTGATACAGGATGCACAGCTTCATCTTTCCTAGAGTCTTCCAATCTGATGGAGGAGTTGTCATCCCCATATTCTTGGGTCTGCTGCTCTCACAGAAAAGCCACAGTGTGGGAGGAGATGTTCCAACCATCTGATGGGGGAAACACAGCTCCATATTCTAGGATTTCCAGTCTGATAGGGGAGGCATGGTCCCCAGAGTTTATTTTCTACCCTGATGGAGGAGACATGGCCAGACCCTGTGGGGTCTTTCAATTAATTACATAGGACCTGCACCATCATCCAAGGCTGAAATCTAAACAGGGGAGATGTCTTCCTGGCAAGTACCACTGAGAAAGAATCTATGTGATCACCCTAGAAATCACCTCCATCCTCTGTCTCCTCCCAGCACCTCATGAGGAGCACCATCAGTCAGGGGGCTGGCCAAGGGAGGGGGAGGACACCACACTCTGGGAAGTCCTGGCTGACGGTGGTGGTGTTCTCTCTTCAGCCGCAGCTGTAGCCATGATGATTGTTCCTGTACCGACTAAGCCAATGGAGGGCCAGGATGTGACCCTGACTGTCCAAGGGTACCCCAAGGACCTGCTAGTCTACGCCTGGTACCGTGGACCTGCCTCGGAGCCCAACCGACTGCTCAGCCAGCTGCCGTCAGGGAACTGGATCGCCGGCCCAGCGCACACAGGTCGGGAGGTGGGCTTTGCCAATTGCTCACTGCTGGTCCAGAAGCTGAACCTCACAGATGCCGGACGTTACACACTCAAGACCGTCACACTGCAGGGCAAGACCGACACTCTGGAGGTGGAGCTACAGGTGGCCCGTGAGTGAGCAGCGGGGGATGGGGGCACCCAAAGATGTCTTTCTCCTCCCTTGTATGCCTGTGGGACACAGGCATATGCCTCTTCCATCTGACCTGAGTGTCCCCATATGGGTCCTTGCTTTGCCTCTCAAAGGATGACGTCCACCGAGGTATACGCCATATGGATAGGTAGCCGTACAGAGGGGTGTCGTGTGAGGGTGGGCATCTTTTTTCCTTAGGTGAGTGGAAACTAAACCACGTGAATCCAGCATCTTCCACCACACTGGGGAGCTGGGGTAAATGCAGGTGTTTTCCTCCCCCATGAGACATGACATGAGGGCAAGACGTTTTCACCTTCAGACACCAGAACGCTCCCAACCTGAAAGTGCACTAGGATGTAGGCTGCTAGGTGTGTCTCCTCCATCAGACAGAGTTCTCTGTTGGGAACCACCTCTCCCCCATCAAGCTGAGGGCTCCCACAGCAGAGAACCATGTCATTCTTAACAGACTAAAAATTGTGTCTCCTCCATCAGACTGGGAGCTCCCAGAATCAGGGACCATGTCTCCTCCATCAGACTGGGAGCTTC